GGGCAATATGCTGACTCTGTAAACCGCTTAGAGAGGGCTGAAAGCCCTATGAAGCGGTATATAAGTCTAACTGCTATTGCTATTGCTATGTTAATCTGTAATGATTCTATTTCTTGACTATCCTAGAATCTTATTCTCCGTGTTGTGTTTTCTCCTCTCAAGGGTCGTGTGCAGATGTGGGTGGATATATTTCCTAAAGATATGCCTCTTCCCGGCCCTCCGGTTGACATTTCACCTAGAAAGCCCAAAGGGTAATTGATGACGTGCATTTCTTCTTTGCCCTCAAATCTACGTTTGCTAATGTCCTGCATCTTTCATAAGGCAGCATTTCTTATTAGGAAAAAAAATAAAGGCTCCCTCAAGCTGCCCCCCCCCCCCCCCTTGCAATTACAGTAGCACATCCGTCTAGTGTTTGTGACACAAACAGTTTGCCATTACTACTTTGGAGGATTTTCCATTTTGCTTCCAAATCCTGAGATTTGCTCTCCTGTTCAAGGACAAAACCGACCTTTGCAATTTTAAAGAGCAGACAAGGCTACTTAAGTAGCCCCTTAGCTGGCAGGAAATTCCAGATTTTTTTGACAGGTTTTGAATGTCCTTTTCATTTTAAAAACACCTCCCATTTTCTAATCCTCATTTGCTCTTGCTTGTCCTAAACGGACATTGTTTTGTCTGGCAGAATGGCTTGAAGGACTCCTGGGTTAAGAGGAGAGATCCTGCTTTCTTTCTAATGAAATAATCATTGCAAGGTTTTTAGTTTAATAAAAATGCTTCCCAGAACAACATTTTTTTGGGGGGTGGGGGGCATCATGAGCAGTGATCCTTATTTCAAGTTTGTTTCTGCACTAAGAGGAAACTATCATCTGTCTTTAGCTGTATTATTTTCTATTGCATTGTCTCCAGAATTAATATTTGCTGCTACCTAAGTTAGAGGTGAGGGATGCGGTGGCTCAGTAGCTAAGACGCTGAGTTTGTCGATCAGAAAGGTCGGCAGCTCAGCGGTTCGAATCCCTAGTGCCACGTAACAAGTGAGCTCCCGTTACTTGTCCCAGCTTCTCCCAACCTAGCAGTTCAAATCACGTAAAAATGCAAGTAGAAAAATAGGGATCACCTTTGGTGGGAAGGTAATAGCGTTCCATGCTCCTTCGGCATTTAGTCATGCCAGCCACATGACCACAGAGAACGTCTTTGGACAGCGCTGGCTCTTCGGCTTTGAAGCAGAGATGAGCACCGCCCCCTAGAGTCAGGAATGGCCAGCACATATGTGCGAGGGGAACCTTTACCTTTATAAGTTAAGGCTTTCTGAAAAGAACTTTGCTTATTTGTATATAGGCCCATTTTTGCCATTATAAATAGGCAAACATATCCACTTAAGTCCTGTAACCTGAAGAAATTTGGCAATTCTTATTTAACATAATTTTAGACAACTAGTGCCATTATCAAATTGACTGTTCAGAAGGGAGTATATGATGAATAGAAATCAGATATAATATCCAAAGAAAATGAAGACATTTAAAAAGTGTTGAGACGAGCTTCCAAAAATAGTTTATTAATTAGCAGGTGGGATAATTTTATAAATATATATATCATGTTTCCTCAGTTTTAACATTGAATTGATTTTTTAAAATGCACACATGAATGAAGAGTTAATGAAGGGCTTTTAAAAAATTCTCATAGCATATAATTTGTACCAAAGGTTTTAATTTAAATTCGGTTTTTCTAAGAAGCATGAACTATATTTAATAATGCAAAAATATTACAGGAATATGCCTTTAGTTCAGAGAAGCTATGTTGTAGTGTATTTAAGCATTGGATATATCATGTTCAATAAATAGAGAGCCAGTAGTTTAAGGCAATAGGCTAGAGACTTGAGTCTCTAGCCTATTGCCTGGGAGACTTGAGTTCTAATCGTGCTGGAGGAGACATCTCGAAAGAGGGAATTTTGTTCTCACCATCTTCTGCGCATGATGCTCGTTTTTGGGTTTGGTCAAGGCCAACCATCTCTGCATACCAGCTGGATGGGGCCACCTGAAGATTCACCCCACATGACACACTTGGGGGCTGGAGATTGGACCTTTAGGCCAGGGTAACTGGGGGGAGGGATTTAGGTAAACTTTTGATATGTACAAGTTCGTGCCTTTTTGCCTCAGATCTTGCTTCACTTTCGCTGTTGTCACTTCATATCCGGTAAAAGTACCTTTTCTCTAAAACAATGGAGTTGGGGTTTCCTTTCTTGGATTTTGAAGGAGGCCCGGCTGACGCCTACCTAGCGCTGCGTAATGGAGTGAGCTCCCATTACTTGTCCCAGCTTCTGCCAACCTAGCAGTTTGAAAGCGTGTAAAAAATGCAAGCAGAAAAATTGGAACCACCTTTGGTGGGAAGGTAACAGCGCTCTGTCCGCCTTCACAATTTAGTCATGCCGGCCATATGATCACGGAGATGTCTTCGGACAGCGCTGACTCTTTGGCTTTTTAAACAGAGATGAATACTGGCCCTAGAGCCGGAAACAACTAGCACCCATGTGTGGGGGAACCTTTGCCTTTACCTTTATTCTCTTTGGTGTGAACAAAAAGATGGAGTCCAGATTTTCTCTCTAAATGACACATTTATTGAGCTGAACAAAGGTGGGTCTTCCCATAAGATTGGAAGGACCCCGAATACAGTTCAAAGCATGTATGTATGTATGTATGTATGTATGTATGTATGTATGTATGTATGTATG